AAATACACTTTACAAATTGATCTCGGTAGCAGTAGAAAATCAAACGCAGAGAAAGAACCCTAAAAAGAGGGGCACATACCTGAGAAGGGTTACGCAGTGTAGAAATTCCAAACTCGGGCCCATTGGCATCAGACCAACCTATTTGAATCAATTGAGAAACTATTTTTTTTTCTTTTTTTCTTTTTTGTTATATCAACTTCTATTTATCTCTATCTGTCTGTTCATGCACAAAGTTTCTCTCTCAAACTGATGAAAGTACATTACTTGATCAACCAAGTAGCATTCACACCAAAATTTGTTGATTTTAAATATAGAGTGAGAGGGGTCAGATGATTCTTGACCTGTCTCATGCGCCTCGTGCGCGTGAGAGGCATATCTTTGCAGTAATTTGGAAAAGTCACCTGAAAATTAATTTTTTTATTTTTAATTTATTTTGGATCATGTTATTTTTTATATTTTTTACACATAAAAAAATAAAAAAATCAAAAAAAAAAAATCAAAAAGTTAGCTTTCACGTAACTTTTTAGAGAAATTACGGCCATATTTGATTTTGTATTTATAAAATAATTTTTTAAAATAGTTTATAAAATTTAAAACTTTGTTTCATTGCTATTTTGAAGATAATTTTGAAATTTGAAATGATTTAACTTTTTTTTTCTAATTAAATAGATGGGAGTGAGAGAAAAATTGATTGATTGATATATAAAATATAAGAAAATGAGAGAAGAGAGAAAAAAAATCAATTAATTAATATGGAGTAGAAAGAAAAGTAATTTTGTATTTTTTTTTTAATTTTTAACCAAACAATATTTGAAATTTTTTCTTAAAAATTGTCTCTCAAAAGACAAACCAAACGAAACGAGGTCTACAAAAAACAACAATCCCATCACATTTGTCAAATGTAATTAATAATTCAATAATTGCACATTTTTATAGTGGAGTTAACTATATTTACTTATAAGTGATGATGTGATATTATTATTACATTAAATTTTTGGGCAAATTACAAACGCCTCCCTCGAGATTTGGGGAAAATACAGATTCCCCCATGAGATTTGAGAAATTACAAATTGCCCACTGAAGGTCAAATTTGCATAACAAATTAGAGGGGAATCTATATGAAAATAAAAATCTCACGGGATAATTTGTTATGAAAATATAAACCTCAGGGGGCGGGATGTAATTTCTCAAACCTCAAAGAGGAACCTGTATTTTCACCAAACTTTGAGGGGCTGTTTGTAATTTATCCTAATTTTTTTTACACAATTTCCATATATAATACTATGACTTGTTATGATTTATTTATTTTCAATCAAAACAAATAATTAAAAAAATATCATTAAAAGATCATACAATATGATATTTTATATCAATTTTTTTATTTATTAATTATTTTCTTTATATATAAGCCCCCCAAAAATTTTTAAATTGAAGCCGCACATGCGCCTGGTCACTTCAGAAATCCATCCTTATCCATTGTATGCTAATTGTAGATAACTCATTTTTTTGTTTGTTGATTATTCAATTGAAGAACAACTTGTTTTTTGTATTTTTCTCTTTCATTTTTTGTTTTTTCTCATTTTGTTTTACGTAAGTATTCTCCATATGGAAAGAAAATTTTTTGCGTCTTCCAATTCGAAACTAAAATATTCATTACAGTTTTATTATATTACTTAATGATAAGTATAATGAATTTTTTTAATTTAAATAATTATAAAATTGGGACTGTTAGATGCTTTGGTTACCAAGTGGTCATCGGCATAGATACGATTCAAGGATTAGAATTGGAGAGGAGGCTGACTCTACCATGGTTGTCACGATAATTTATAAGTAGGATAATATTTGAGACTTTTAAATATATATATATAATTTAACTTATAATAATGTGATTTGGCAAGTGTTATTTTTTTATTCTTCATTCCGTCACTTATATTAGAATTATCATTTTTGACATTTGCATTTGTGGGTATAAAATATGAGTCTCTAACATTGTTATTATAATTTGATGAAAAAAAAAAAAGAAGAAGGCATTGTTATCAGAAAATGCTACCTTCTAATTTTTTCCTTCACACTCTCCGATATATGACAACAATATCAACATGCTATCTTCTATTTTTTTCCCCAACAATGATTCATCCCCCTTTTCCCTCCGCACCCCCTTTGACCCCCTCTCTCTCTCATTGGTTACTTTTTCTTTTTCTTTTTCTTTTTTTTCCTGCTCCTCCAATCACTACCCGCCACGTGGCAAAAGGGGTGAGGGGTGACCCCCCAAAAAGGGGTCCCAAGCATTATTCTTTTTTCCCTCACACTCTCCTAGTAATATGACAAACAATATCAACCAATCATTTCTTTTCAAATTCTTCTCTCCCCTTTTAAAATTATTTGTCACATCATTGAGAGAAATTTGGAAGGGGAAAATTAGAGATTGCTCAATTTATAATTGTGTGTAAATAATTTTCCAACAAAAATCTGATAATTAGGATTGTGGAAAAAAAGTAAAAATTACTAATAAGTCATATTTTGCTCTTAAAATTAATATTGAGTGTTATTAAGTTATAATTATTTGTCATAAAATATTTTCAAAAAGTTCATTACTCCATAAAGGTGTATCTTATCCTAATTTTACCCTTTTCATTTAATATGAATAATAATTTTGTATATAATTTTAACTTAATTAAAATAAAAAATTAATTAAATAAAATATTAATACTATATCAAAAAAAATATAAGTAACAACTGGATTGAAATAACTTTAGTACAAAATGAGTCACTTTTTTGTTATCTTCAATTTTAAATTTTATTTAGTATAAACAATCTGAAAAAAGCTAAATTATGTTAAACTTTCAAAGAGTTATGAAAATAATACTATAACAAATTTATATATTTCTCAATGCATAAGATAGTTGATGAATCATATAATTATGATTTTGTTTATGAAAAAATGACTTATTTGTCAATATTGAAATTTGATGTAATTCAATAGTAGTTTTAGAACAAAATAAAACTTACCGGTAATTTTTTTCATTGTGGTTTATTAATATTTTCATATAATATCATAATTTTTACAATTAAAAAATATAATTTTGTTTCGATTAAAAATATTTATGAAATCATTGTTCATGTTAAATAAGGGGTAAAATTACGATAACATACACCATTATGAAATAATAAACTCGTTGAGAATATTTTATTAAAAATAAGATAGTTATTCATATTAAAATTTAATAAGAGTCAATAGTAATTTTAAGAACAAAATAAGACTTATTAATAATTTTTTCAAAAAATTATTATCAAGTACAATAATTCTGGTTAAACAGTAATTTTCAAGGCTTTTCTTTTTCAAATATTGAGTAAAAAAGTTTAAACAATCATCGGAAAACCGGCCCACATATTATCACAAGAACAACCCCATGTATGAGGAGGTATTCGTAACCAAAACCAAAAAGACACTTCAAACTTCAAGCATTATGCCACGTACCTACAGGGGTGAGTATGCTTCGGCTCGGATTAGTTTGGAATGAAAT